CAGGGTGAATGCTGAATGACAGAGTTAATAATTTCTGTTATTTGCCATCGTTTTTTAGGAAGCTCCTGGGCAGTAGGGCTGATGGAAAATTATTGGAGAGGCTACTCCCCTTCCCATCCAGCACCCTATGAACACACAGCAAAGTTCAGGCACTTTCTTTGCCATAGACCGGTCTTGGATTCGTAAAAAATCTTAATTTAACACGCTCACAATGATGAATAATTTTGAATGGACTATTATGTTAGAAATGCAAGTTAATAATTTTTCCTGGACAAAGTATAATTGTAATCAAAGGTGCAACTGTCTCTGGAAACATGCATCATGCACTGGGGACATACAGCATGCCACTGCACCTGAACACATACCTTTTCAGTCTTGAAATCTTTAGTGTTAAACTTAGTGTAATCTTCTTTGGCTTCTACCGGCTCATCTGATAGCTTTAGTTTCTGCAATGTTAGAGCAAGCGAAGCAGGGGTCAAACATCATCCTCTCATACCACTCCATTAAAAACAAACAAACTGCACAGGCCTCTTAATGCTTTCCCTTTTTACAAACTCCTTTACATTTTGACAATTTCCTTGAGAACTAAGTCACACAGCCCTTCTAAGAAGCAGTTTTGGTGCTGATGGGCCACATCTGAGCAGGTACATGACTTGGCCCCCTTAGTCCCTTAATGACATAAATCCATTTTCCATGTACCAGGCACTGTGAGCTTCTAGGTGGCTGGAGACTTCAAGGAGAGTCTTGGGGCTAAGACTAAGGCATAGAAGTTGAGGACAAAAATTCCTCTGAGGGATCCTGTTAGACAGGTGTACCTCCACTTCATTCACCACCTGGCCTGGTCTAATGTCCAGTCACAGATGCAGGGATAGTGCTGTTCCCTTGCTAGCAACTTTGCATAGCTTCAACCCACACCTCCTTTCCGTTCAGCAACTTCCTCATCCACAACCATGCACAAAAGTATACCTGCAGGCCAGGAGCCCACAGGAACAGCTAAGGAGGTAATAAAAGATGTGTGGGGAGAGCTCAATTTAAAAAAAAATTATATCACATCTATTTATTTTGTGTGTGTGAGCACATGCATGCCACAGCTCGCGCACACACAGGACAAGTCATGGGAGTTGGTTATTTCCTTTGACTATGTGGGTCCCAGAGATCAAACTCAGGCTTGGTAGCAAGTGCCTTCTGCTGAGTCATCTTGCCGGCCTCAGTACTGATTGACTGACTGATTGATTGGTGTGTGTGTGTATCTCAATTTAAAAAATATTTTATTATTTTTATTTTATGTGTATGAGTGTACTGCCTGCATGTATGTGAGTACACCCATGTCGTGCAATGCCGTGGAAGTCAGAAGAGGGTTTTGGATTCCCCTGGAACTGGAGTTGAGGATGGTTTGTAGCCACCATGTGGGTGCTGGGAATCGAACCTGGGTCCTCTGCAAGAGCAGTCAGTGTTCTTAACTACTGAGCCATCTCTCCAGCCCCATCTCTCAATTTTTGTAAATATTCTTTCTATTAGGCTCAGTGCAACTAAGTCAAAACTTCACTGAATATTTTCACCTTTCTCAAGAGGCTTTTGCACCATGTGAGAATTCTGTGAAGAGCTGGGCTGTGTCCTTCATAACCAAGTGCTCATAGCACAGAGAGAACATGCCACATCCTTCACTGACAGGGCAGAGAGCTGGGCAGATTCCTTGATGCTATATGCAGAAGAACTGACTGCACGGGGACTACCATTTGGATTTTCACATTTTTAAGCTCTTTGTGGAAATACCAGGTACATAAGTGTCATGGGTCCCTAGGAAATACAGACTTACCCCCCAGCTCCCTCCTCACACCCTGCATTTGCTGGGCAAACAAGTGGTAGAGCTGCTGCTAACAACCCCATGACACAAGGGAACAAAGTTACATGAAAATTTTCAATTTTTTTGCTATAAAACCAGAGATTCTAGGGATTTTCTTGGCCACAGAGCAACCTCTTGCAACTGAATCATCAAAAGCAAAAGACTAGCTCACTATAAATGGATGGCTTACCAGCACAGCATAAAAGGATGCATGCAACTTTTCAAGAATACATGTTCTGTCTGCTGTGGGGTGTGGTGGCTCATGCCTGTAATCCTGGCACTTGAGAGCCTGAGGCAAGTGGATTGCCACAAACTCAAGGTCAATCTGGACTACAGTGACTTCTAAGTCAGCCTGAGTTAGTGAGTGACACCTTGTCTCAGAAAACAAAACAAAACAACAATAATCAAACAGTCAAACAAAAGAATACATGGTCCTATTTAAATGGTGGTTAGGCAGTGCACACTGTCACTAGAAAGGCACCTTCAGCCAGCTGAGCAGAGCTTATACCCCACAATGCCGAAGGCTCTAATGGTATCAGAACTCTGAGCATGAATCCATGAGGATGTTTGTGTTCTTTCTCTGTGGCAAAATATTTCTCCACTGACTCAGGTTGTATGCTCAAGTGCAGGGGACCCACACCACCAGTGGGGCAGCAGATGCTGGGAATAGGCCGGAACTGATTTGGGACTAGGGCTGTCCCCAACCTTGATTAAAGAAGCTTCTCTTTGCAGCAAACAGCAGTTAACACAGAGACTCTTGACTGGTGGGGTGCTGAGAACAGCATTAAATGGGACATCCATATCACTTCCTCCAAGATTCAGGGAACATCACTGAAGCAGGGGTAAAAAGAACATTAAGAGCCAAACCACAGAGAGGAGAGCCATGAAACGCTGTCTTATGAGCATGACAAGGCTGTGGGGCCTGAAGTTACTATCTGGTCTTTATAGAAAAACTGTTGACCCTGGATCTAAATCATGAGTGATGAAACCACAAATGACTTACATTTTGGAAATTAAAATAAGAAAACAGGAAACTAGAATGGAGCAAACTTAAGAACTACATCACTTAAAATTATCAAAATACACTGTGTAGATGAAATTCTCAAAGAATTACTAAAAACGCTACATTTAAAATAAGAACAGAGCTTCAATGGAGTGAGCGCGCTGACAGACAGGTGGTGGGAATAGCTGTAATCCCAGCACTTGGGAGGCTGAGGCAGGAGGAGGGTAAATAGCAGGCAAGCCTTGGCTACATATAAAGATGCCATCTCAAAAATATAAACAAATAAAGAAAACGAAAAGGAAAGGAAAACAAGAAACATATTACTCCAGAAGGCATCAAGGGTGAAAAGTCTCAAGAATGAGTTCAGACTAATCCATAGATGATGTCTAAGTTATCAAGAAGAAAAATTTGGGGGAAAAAGAAATATGCTTTTTTTTTTTTTTTTTTGAGAGAGAAAGAAAGAGAAATAAATGAACATTTTCAGGGCACCTACCATCTCATTAACAGCAAGACAATTGTTGGTCCTTTTGTCCATTGAGCTACTGACAGAGGCTAACCCAGGTGGGAAGAAGCATGTCTGGTTTAGAATTGACCTTCTCTGCTCTCAGAGCAACTGACTTCTGCCCAAGAGAACAAAAGACACCCTGCTTTGATGCCATGCTGAGCATGGTGCCAGACTAACTGATGCACTTCCAGTTTCCAAGTAAATATCAAAGCAATACCTGTTTCCGAACCTGTCACCACCCAGGCCAAACAAAACACAATACAAACTAATCCTGAGTACGCTGGCCACCTTGAAGGCCAAACAACTGAATGCTGGGGAGAGGAAGCTGTTTAACATCCACAAGGTGCCTGATCGTGAGGCATCCATTCCTCTGCTGCTGTCTCACAGACAAGCAGGGCACGTGTGCTTAGGGCCCGAAGATTTGGCAGGCTACAGTTTGCAATCAGGTGTGGCCTATACGGACACAAGCTATGGAGGTACTAGGGGTAGAAGTTCTGAGAATATCTGGGCCAGGAAACAGTTTCCTAGGAACAGGGCTGGGGAGACAGTTCAGTCAGTAGTGTTTGCCGTGCTAGTACCAAGACTAAGTTCCACCCCCAGAACCCACATAAACAAGCTGGTGCATACTTGGGATCCTAGTGCTGGGGAGACAGGTAGGTTACTTGGGCTTGCTGGCTGGCCAGGCTAGCCTACTTAGAGAGCTCCAGGACAATGGAAGACCCTGTCTTAAAAACAAATGAACAAGAAAAACAAGGTGGATGGTGATTTTTGAGGAATGACATCTGAGGCTGGCCTCTGGCCTTAACAAGCACATACACAAACACACACATATGAAAGAGCTCATTGACAAATGACAATCACACACAAATGATTGATCATTTCAAATTCAGGAAAGAACCAGTCATCTTTTTTCAAAAGTCTCTTTATGCTAAAAAAAAAACCTGTGCTCTGTACCCCTTTGTGCCAGTGACAATAAGATTTGGCAATATGACTTCAGTTCTATGTAGAGTTTTATGGGTAATTAATAAAATACAGGTCTATGGGTAACTCAAGAAGATTTCAGCCAACATGGTTGAAGATACCTATAATCCCAGTACTTTGGGAGACTGAGGCAGGAAGACTGAGTTCAAGACCAGCTCGAGCCACATTAGTGAGACCCTATCTTAGGTGGTAAAAATTATCTTACTTATATATCTATAAGATATACTTTAAATTTATCCTTGTGTGTGAGTGTCTATATGTGTACATCTCCATGTGTGTTTGACAATGTGTAAGCGCAGGTGCTCATGTAGGACAGAAGAGGGCATCAGGTCCCTTGAGCTAAGTTATAGGCTGTTGTGAGCCATCTGACATGAGTGCTGAGTACAGAACTCTGGTCCCCTAAAGGAGGAGCGAGTGCTCTTAATCATCAAGCCATCTCACCGGTCCCTAACTATACTATTTTAACAGACGTATCTTGCTAAAACCAATTTGGTTTCTATAAAAGTAAAACACTGATAGAGAGCCAGTGCAGTCCGTAGTTCATGTTACCACATGTCATGCAAGATGGATCTTGAATGTTTTAAAATAGACTAGCACAGGCCAAACACATGGAAAAAGTTCAATATATTTTTTAAGTCCCCAAAGATATCTTGGTCACAGTTTCTTACCTTTGATGGAGAGTTTGGCAATGAAGCTGAAGGTTCTGGAAGCCTAAGGAAGTTAAAAATAATCACAGTCATAGCTTTTCATAGAGAAGCAAATAAACTGGGCCAACCTAAGACATAAGAGTCTTGCTTGCTGGAGGCCTTTGTCTCCATACACTTCCTCTTTACCGCAGAGTGAAGAAGGCAGCTTCACTGAAGGAATAACACTTTGCTACTTATTTCTGTATACTGGAAAAATTTCCAGTAAGAACACAGGTTACAATTAGAACCCATTTGCTGAAATGGAGCTGCTTTTCTTTAGCCTCTGTAATGCATTTGGCAGAGGAGTGTTTTCTTTATAAATGATGATGCCAGATTTATTTAAAAATGAAAACTACCATAGCCACTGGGGAAAGCCACATGAACATTACCTTTTCACTCATAAAAGAGTAGTTTACTCAAATATTTCACCCAAAATATTTCATTCAAACTTAAAACTTTCAGTGGAAAGAATTGTATCTACACAAATAATAGAAAGGTCTCTATCAAGACAAGCATCTTGCAACCCAGAGAAACATTAAGCAGAAGGGTGGTCATAAATCAAAAGAAGCTTTCCACATACTAACTACCAAAGAAGTCTGTTTCCCATAAAGTTTTTAAAAGTGGAACCTATGGAATTTGCTAAAAGTAGCAACTATATCATCTATTATGGAATAAAGAAGAAAAGGATTTAATGAGGATCAGGAAAGACTATTAAATCATCATAAAACCGTAACATTGCTGCAAAAATCTTGGAAAAAATACACATTAAAAATCTATAAAAGGAAGAATGCAAATCAAGTCACCCACAGGATCACTCTTCTACCATGCAAGGATATGGACTAGTCTTCATGTGACCTTGAGTATTTACAGAGGTATTGAGTAAACACCTGATTCTAATAGTGAAAAATGCATACACAGAACTTCTAAACACAATTTTCAAAGCTGTTACCATCTGCTTTGCATCTCTATTTTTCTCTCAAAATGACCACAAAGAATCAAATTAATTATCATTGGGGATAAAATCTTAATGTGTTTTCCCTTAAATTGTACAAAGCAATAATTTTAATCCTAAACTCATTTAAGCTGCAGCAGTTTTCACCAAATCAACTCATCCCAATTAATGTCCATTAAAACTCACCACCAGTCCAGAGAATACAATACAGTTCAAGGACAGCACTTACCACACGCTATGGAAGACCCACTGCCAGGGAGATGGAAGCACAAAGGAGCTTGTGAATCAGGACTAAAGATGAATGACACTTACTTTAAGTACTTAGATAGGTCATCACTTAATTCTTTAGGGATGTAATCAGAGATCAGACCATAGGCATAACGAACATAATCTTCTGAAAGAAAGAATAGGGAAAAATAAAAGGAAAAAAATTAGTAATAATTATGGTGGTTTTAGTCAAACTGACCTGAGTTCAAATTCTTGTTCTACCTGGCTTTGGAAATTCACCTAAGCTCTGGCCCAAATTTATACATTGGTAAAGCAGGGAGATGAATACCCACCCAGCAGGCTAAAGGAGAACTATGACAGATGAGATGTGACATGGGATGCTGCCATAGATGAAATGACATAGCAGATGCCACCAAAGCTACTTTCGAAAAGAAACTCAGGGTTGCTTTCTTGAAGTTTCAAGGACTACACATAAAAATGAAAAACCTGCTGTAACAGCATGAAAGACTCACATCTCCTTTTTAAGGTTAATCTTTTGTTAAGTCTGCTTTAGTACAGAAGAAATCTAATCACTGAGCAGAAATACTTATTTAAAAGAAAATAATACATATAATTATTTAGCTGATTTGTCTCTACTAGGTACTCACTTTATAAGAACTTCAAACACTATATATATTTCCAAACTAACAAAATGAAAATGAATAACTACTTACTGGGCAGAATGGATAACCATTAGTTCAGATCTCTGGACCTTCAATATTAAAATACAGCTGACACCAACTGAATGCAGTCAAAATCTGTTTCCAAATGCCATTTCTAACTCAGACTTGTGTGTAGAGCATGGGAAGAATACTTTGTGTACCAGTGGGTGGAACCCTGGGGACATGAAGTAGCAACAGCAGACCCCAGGCTTGCTGCTGGGATATCCGTTTGCTTCCTTTGTTCCTTCTGCCTTCAACCCAAGGTAGCAATGTGCCTCATTATTACTTAAAAATGATACTGTCTGGTCTTCAGTAGGAGATTGTCACTGTTGATCAAAACTGAAGGTTTTCATTAGACACTTCTTAAATTGTGCTTATGCTGCTGGGTAGCCCTTATTCAGTGGGGCACGAAGAGATAAGAGATTTTAAGAACACCACCATCTAGTTCATTTGCTCCTTCTGGTTTCACCCTGACATGGTTTGAATCTGAAATGTTCCCCCAGGCTCTTGTTTGGAGCACTTGTTTCTAGAGTGCTGGTGTTGTTCTGAAGGTCTGGAGCCTACGGAGATAGGGCTTGGATGGCAGAAGGAAATCAGGGGAGGAGGGCTTTGAAAGTTATGTCTGCCCCTGGCTCTGGTCCAGCACTCTCTGCTGCCTGTCTGCTACCATGTAGCACAAGTTCCCACCAGTGAACTGATCCACTCCTACCACCATGGCCTTCCCCTTCATGATCTGATGATTTCATGGACGGAAATCTCTCTGAAACTGGAAGCCAAAATGAACCTTTCCTCCTGTAAATTGTTTCTATTGGGTACTTTGATCACAGCAATTTAAAAGTCACTGGTACATACACCCAGATAGAAGACCTAAAGAGGAATAGTGTAAATAGTAAAATTCTGGCTGCAATGCTAAAATACAGGCCCACCCAGGACTTGTGGCAGAGTCCTGGAGCAAACACTGCACTCAGAGTAAATGACCCCGCCTATCTGCCAGGATAAGTCACCTATGTCTCTGGGGCCACAGCTTTCCATTTTTAAAATGAGAAAATACATCTAAATAATCTCTTACATTCCTCTTCTTACTTAAAAAATGTAGTTTTGTTAATTGGTTGGTTTTTTCATCTATTCCCATCAACCCATTTGACTCAATCCTTCCTCTTGTTGTTAAAGTCACTGGAGACACTGGTTGCTGGCGACCTTGGTAGAGCAAGTATGCTCTCCACCACTCCCAGTAGGTAGCTGTGCCTGCAAGCAAGGTGTGGGAGAATAGATCCAAATCTGCCTAAAAGACTAGCATTTACAAACAGACCACTGTTCCTTGCATTTATTTTCTGTGTGTTTGTTAGCTTGATTGTTCATTTATTATTTTTACAGCGTTGCGGACTGATTCCAGGGTCTCATGCTTATTAGGCTATGCTTGATCAATGTGGCCCAAGTCCTAGTCCATGTGCTTATTAATGCCTGAAGTCAGAAGTAAACACTGAATTGGAGCTTAAGGTCAGAATAGTTTCTGTCCCACCATTTGAGAATGTTAATTGTATTACATAACTTTTTCTTTAACTACATATATAAAAATAAGAGAGAACTATGTTGGAAAAAGCAAAATAATGTATCTTAATAACCTAAAAGAAAAAAATGTCCTTAGTGAGACCTGGTCTTAAAATAAAAAGTCCTTGTTTTAAGGGCTGGGGACACAGTTCAGTGAGAGAAAGTCTGTCTCTTCATTTTAGAGGTGGGGATGTTGTTCAGTGACAGAAAGCCTATCTGGCATGTGAGAGGCTCTCGGCTTCACTCTCAGAATGGATAGAAGGAAGGAAAGAGGGCAAGTTAGAAAGATAAAGCAGGAATGAAAATCTGACAAGTGAAGACATTTTATTGATAGGATACACTCTCTCAGGAATATATGCCATGAGTACAGGCTGCAAAGAGATCCACCCTCCATCAGCAAATGGCCTCGCCATTTGCTACCTAGTAACTTTGGGCAGTCTGGCTCTTATGAGCCTTGAGGGGGTCAGATGACACATTTAATATACTGGCAACTTAGCAAGGGCCTGGTATATTTCATACACTCAATAAAGGGTAGCCAGGGTCGTTAGGGCTACTATCGCTATTAGTAAAGAACACTATTTGCTGAACAAATGATTGAAGCACTGATTAATAACAGATACCATCTAAGGTGGGCAATGGTATGGTGTCTAAAATCAGCTCTTTGAGCACATGGACAAAAATAGGAAGATTTTGCAGCCTTAGAGTTTTATACCTTATAGAGCAGTCAGAGGTTAATTCTGAGGAGATACTCTGCTTACCTTCCTTGTCCCTGGAAACCTGACTGCCAGAGAAAAATGCAGCTGACTGTACCCGGGCTCCAACATTGACATTACTGGTTTTCAATGCTGCCACAGTCTGACTGACCTAGGAAATAAACACAGGGAGCAAATAAAGCTACTTTCAACTTAACTTCAGAATGCCATGACTTTCTAGATGGCCCTTGCCCATCTGAGAGGCAGGAGGTACCTTAGTACCTGGAACTATCTTGATCAAATGTCAGAAGACAAGATGGCTACACATGCAGAGAGAGGACCTCAGCATCCAGGCTTCCCCACAAATGACAGGAGTGCACTGTGATTACCCAGAGATGACTGTGGAATCAAGCTGCTTGGGTTTGCTCTGTGAACACAGGCCAGTTACATTACTTCTTTGTTCCTCTATCAGTAAAATGGGCATAAAAGAAGCATTGATCTCAGGACTTCTGTGAAGACTGAATGAGCTCATATGTAAAGCCCTGAAAATGAGCTTATCCGGCATAAAGTTTACATGTAATAATTTTTTAACAAAAATAAGTATTTTCCACCCTCTAGAGAGTGTTAGTGTAAGTTTTACTTTGCTGGTCATGGCATCATCATTTGCGGAACAGATGCTCATATGGATACTTGGCTCAGTATTGGCACCTACAGACTAGATACTGTAGAACACAGGACATGTGAAACAGGGCATTTTATAACTCTTCACCACCTTGTACACTAGAAACCTGAACTCCACAGCTTCAACATCAATGTTTCCAGACTGTCAGTGTGCTCAGAGACATGACACACAAACACATGTGTCTTCTACATGCAAGACACAAGGTCATCTTAGCAAGCAGGATGAGAAGTGCTGTTGTCCACTGACCTTGTAAAAATTTTGTCATTAAGAGCTGGCTCAGTGAGATTCTTAACAGTGTAAAAATACATGATGGCGGGGGCTAGAGAGATGGCTCAGTGATTAAGAGCACTGACTGCTCTGATCTGAGTTCAGTTCCCTGCATCCACATAGTGGCTAATAGCCATCTGTAACTCCAGTTCAAGGGGAAATCCAGTGCTCCCTTCTGGCCTCGGTGGGCACTGCATCCACATGGTGTACTTTTTTACATGCAGGCAAAACATTCATAACTCATAAAATAAAAATTAAAAAATTTTAAGAAAAAAATTTCCTCCCCCAAATGACGGCCTTTTAACAGTCCATGTCATAATCCAGTTAAAAATGTACAGCAAGCCAATATTCAACACATACCTAAATATACATTTCATAGAACTATCCTAATGTTTATCCTTATTCTATGCTACATTTTAATCCATTCTATTCTATCCTAATTTATTCTATCCTAATCCATTACAAGAGAAATATTAGTTGTAATCTACTTAATTTACTTGAAAACCACCACCCGAAATCTTACATAGGCCAGGTGTGATGGTGTATGCTTTTAATCCCAACATGCAGGAGCTCTCTGAGTTTGAGGCCAGCCTTGCTCTATTAAGAGTTCCAGGCCAGCCAGGGATATATAGTAAGACCCTGTTTCCAAAAGGAAATCTCATCTTCGAATCACTTAGAGGGCTTGCCTGTAAGATGACCCTTCTGCAGCATCCCACACCTAAAGAAGACACTTCTGAGCCCTCCCTCCTTGCCTGGCTGTGTAAGCAACATCACCCCAGAGACACCTGTGGGGTTTAAACACAGAAAAAGCATCAGCCTGGCATCGTCTGTCTTGAAAGACTCCAGTCTGCACCAGCCAATAGCAAGAATTCCTGCTATTCAGGGGCAGGACCATGAAATCAAATGAAAACCTCATTGATTTTTGCTGCTAGAGGATTCTTATCTACTCTGCTTAGCTAGTTACACCCTTGTAGTCTCCATCTGTGCTTTAGGCCTAGGCCCCCTCCTGCTTGTCCTGCCTGAGACCTGCAGACTAGCCTGACAAGTACAGCTCTCACCATTCATCAAAGAAACTTCTTTGGCAACAGATGAAGATTATTATAGAGTTCCACAACTGGTCAAATGCAGAAAATAAGTGTCAGTGAGATGCCTAGCCCTAAGTGACACATCTACAATGCACCCTCTCCCTAGGTTTAGGGAACAGAGAGAATATTAATGTATCTCCTAACTCTCACCAGCAAAGCTTCCTCATGCAATAGATGGTGATTAAAACAAAAAGCCACAACTTGCCAAAATACAGAGAATAAGAGACTTCAGAGTGCATGTCCCTGATAGGACTTCTATATTAAACTTCTGCCACCCAAGGCTCAGAGACCATTACAGAAGAGGAAGCAGAAAGACTGTAATAACCACAAGAAAACAGTTTTTCAGGTGGCTGGGAACTTGCTCATATGAACTTACAGCAATGGTGGCGGCATGCACAAAACCCATGCAAACTCAAGCCAGTAAAAATCCAGCAAAGGACACACACACACACACACACACACACACACACACACACACACACACACACACACACACACACACACGCACGCACACACCACACACATATAAAAACAAAAAATACAGCAAAGAAGTGGGGAAATGGGCAAGAAGCCCCAAACTTAACTGAGGAACTGTTGGCAGCTGGTCAGTGCTGGTTGAGGGAGAGTTGGATTTCTTTAAGGAGTGACGCTAGACAGATTGACCAGGCTCCAGTGGATAGAGTCAAGGGACATTTGGGACACAAACTTGACTCAATAGGCCTTAACATATATAACAGAATGCATGAAATCTGGTGAGGGAGGCTATGGGGAGGGGTGCAGATAGGGGAGTCTAAATATGATTAAGACATATGAAATCCACAAAAGTTCAATTAAAAATTTAAAAAATCTTAGTTTCTCCTCAATCTTTGATCTTTATATAGCTTTTCACAGGTGGTCCTTGGATCCAGATTTATTGCCTAATCTGAAGATTTTTAAAGGGGAACTTTAGGGGCTAGAGAGACAGCTCAGTGGTTAAGAATACCGGCTGCCCTTGCAGAGGACCTGGTTTCAGTTCCCAGCACCCACATGGTGGCTAACCACTGTCTGTAACTCCAGTTCCAAGGGATCCAATGCCCTCTTCTGACCTCTGCAGGCATTGTATGACATGGGTGCACTTACATACATGGAGGCAAAACACTCATTCACATAAAATAAAAATAGATAAAGAAAGAAAGGAAAGAAGGAAAGGAGGGAGGAAGGAACTTTACATTTCTTCTTTTTAGCCAAAAGGCATTAGTGAGGTGCCATACCTTTTTTTCCAGCCACTTTAATGTCTTCTCTTTGCTATACTTATAATATTTCTTGTTGCTTATTTCTGGATTAAATGAAAGGGAAAAAAAAAGCCCACCTCAGTACAATGAGTTAGACAAACAAAAACCATAAACTCAAGGTTATAACATATACATATTAACAACTTAAAGATATTTTATAGCAGTTTGCATTCTTCAAAAACTCCAACTATAAACCGAAAATACTTGAGATAGTAAAAATAATCCCCTACTAGAGTCTGGGTACCTCAGAAGTCATCCACTCACTTAGTCAGTGGAAGTTTAAGAAAACTCTCAAATTACATAGACAGCTCAGTAGAAAGGAATTTTAAAATGCAGCCAACTAACATGCTAAGCAGTCTTAATTTTTCTCAACAACCTTAAACTTACCTCAATGTTTTCAATGAAATACTTCTTTTCTAAAATAGAAATGGAAATACCAAGGGGTAAAAAACAAAATCAAAGCAAAGACAAGGTGTCTGGGAAGTTCAGTACGTATTTGCAGAGGAAAAAAAAAATCTTATTATCCACTCAATCCTTTCCCTGGTGGGATTAGTGAAGCTTAAAAGGATGGGCCTGTCTCTTAATGTATCAGCGATGTAATCACAACTAGTTCAGAGTAATTTAGATTTATGGTGAGCTCAACTTGGTCCTTGAAGGGGATCAAAGTTCCAGCTCTTATAAATAATACTTCCTCTCTTCACAATCCACCTGGCTTTACACACCATGTCATTAAACCAGGATTTCCTGTGTAACACTTTTCTTTATGGGCTTTCTTCTTCCTCCCACCAGGTTTCCTTTACAGCCATGCAAGAGTCATCCTAAGACCACTGGAGAGCCTATGGCCAAAGCAGACTCTCCACTGGGAAGCCAGACAGAACTTGCTTTCCCTACCTCCCTTCTGTTCTATGGGAAGTTGAAACTGCTTATTCTGGGGTAGTTTTTTTGTAGTTTATCCAATGGTTTGTACAGGGTAGGGCCTCAGGTCCTCAGCTTCAGTCTCAGTGAGTTTCCTCCCCTCTGCAGCCTGTTGCTGACAACATAGAAAGGGGCAGTCAGTCCTTCACACTCATCTCTGAGGATGTGCCCCTGGAGTAACAAGAAGGAGGAAGGACAGCTGTATATGACATTCTGTCACAAGTCTAAGAACCCCTGCTCTTCTGGAGCTAGGTCTGCATAGGGAAACAGCCTGCTGCAAAGCAAGTCCTGTCATACTGGACTACTCTGGAGACCATGTCTCACCCTACACACAAGTTAGGAATTTTAGGATTCCTTGTCATTCAATAGATGGACACTGTTTAATAGCATTTAGAAGTTCCATGCACCGTCTAAGACAGACTTTCCAAAAAAGCTAAGTGTTCAAGTCTCTCAGAGAGTCTACTCTGCTCATACTTCCAAATTTCTTGGAAGAAGTCCCACTTTCTGAGCCCTTGAGTGAGCCTCTCCTCCCTCTCAGGTGGAGAACACAGAGTGAGCCACCTGTCTGGGCTCATGCACAGTTTAGCATCACCCTCAGAACCTGTTTCCGCCTGTATAAAGGGATAGAATTCCTTAGGAGATAAGCCATATAAATCCTAAAGCACAATGCCTGCCATATACAAAATAGTATTCACTGTGGAAAAATGACGATAATCTTTGTTAACAGCTGCCATAGTTCACTTCAGTTGTCGACTTGACACAAACCTAGAGACACCAAGGAAGAGAGAAACTTCCTCCATCAAATTGGCTCATGGGTATGTCTGTGAGGCATGTTCTTTACTACAAATTGACTGTGGGCAGTGTCACCCCTGCACAGGTGCGCCTGGGCTGCATAACAAAATGTGGTCCTGGAAGCAAGCCAGTAAGCAGTGTTTCTTCATGGTACCCTGCCTCCAGGATCCTGTCTTGATTTTCCTCAGTGATGGACTGTGACCTGGGAACTGTACACTGAAATAAACCCTTTCCTCTATGGTTTTGGTCAGTGTTTTATCAGAGAAACAGAAAGCCAACTACAACAATGGCACCAGCAACCAATGCTTCTTCAACCCCTTTACAAACACTTCCTCTGTGATGGTCAGAATGAATCTCAGGTGAAAAACATTTTAGCACTTCATCTAAAGAGACTGCCTCTGAGCCACACTAAGTAAATGGTCAAACTCATTAGTAAGTAGTCCCTGCTCCAGGGCATGTCTCCTCATCCTGTTTGTGGGAAAAGCCTTTGCAGCATGGCATCCATAAAACGGTCCATTTTGGCTTTCTGCCTCCCATGACTCCTCTGATTGTTTTCCCAGCTCTGCTTTCCTCTTTGCCAAGGTCAACTGTACCTTTCTCTTCGGGTGACCTTATTCTAGCTCAGCTAAGCTAGACCAACCCAATGGGGTACATGTAATGCCCTGAGTGAGGCTCAGTAACTTCACAGAAAAATTGGTCACCGTCCCATAGACCATGCGCCTGGTTACCAGGGATAGAATCTGGGGTCAACATTCGCTCCTGCCTTGTCTGCCACACTGCACCCCTCTGGCTGGGGATGGGAAGTGTGGATACAAATGAAACTGACATTAAACTGGATTGGATATCAAGAGGCCTAGCTTCTAGTGCTAGATCAGAAACTTCTTATTTTATTTATTTAAATTTCTATTTTGTGTATATGAGTGTTTTCTTTAAAAAACAAAAACAAAAACAAACAAATAAAAAAAAAAACAGACATTATGGGCCGGGAGTGGTGGTACATGCTTTTAATCACAGCACTCTGTAGGCAGAGGCAGGCAGATCTCTGTGAGTTGAAAGCCAGCCTGGCTACACAGTGAAACTGTTGTGTGTAGGTATACTGTTTGTATAACAGATACATATACATTTAAAGTACATAATTCGAGCAGCTTGGAGAAATCCAAGCAGTCTACCTACCTGTGATGGCTGGTTTTAACTGTCAGCTTGATAGTATAGGGGTCACCTTGAAAGGGACTCTCAAAGATGGATCCTCTAGATCAGGTCAGCATGTGGGCATGTCTGTTTGAGATTATCTTGATTTCATTAACGGGGATGGGAAGACTGCTCAGTATAGGTATCCCCATTCCTGGACTGTTATCAGAGTGGGGAAAGCCAATCTAGTCAGCATGCATGCTTTATTCAGTGCTCTGCTCTCTGCTCTTCACTGTGAATGTAATGTGACCAGTTCTCTCAAGCTACTGTTATGTGTTACCTGGAACTGTGAGCTAAAAATAAACCTTTTCTCCCCTAAGTTACTTTTATAAGGGTATTTTACACAGTAGCATGAAGCTTCACCCCAAATTTCCTTGAATCTCCACAGTTCTCCCACCTTCCCACCTTCCCATTCAGAGGACCACTGAGCTCTCATACATTAGTTTTTGCTCTGTTCTAGTCACAGAAATGGCTCATAGGAACGTGTTCATTTGCCTTCTTCGCTCCAGTTTCTCTGAGCTGCACTGCTTTGTTGCAGGCAGCGGCAGCCCCTTAGTCGGCACCATGGGGTGTATATTCTGGTTACAGAGACCACATCCGCTGACCCATCTACCCGGGACCATTCAAGTTCTAGTTTGGGACTGTGTTGAAAAAGTTGCTCTAAAGAACAGAGAGGCTGCATCCTTACTCAAATCTCTGCATGGGCATATATTTTAATAAGCCCAGAGGAAATAAATAGGAATAGAATTACTGAGTCACAAAAACTGTCAAGTGGTTATAATTTTGTCTTTTAAAAATAAAGGATATTTATTTGGATAAAACACCACATATTTTTCTATGGAGATAGTTTTTATGTCCTGAAGCATATTTGTCTTCCTCAAGATCACCAAGAGTTTGTCCTACTTCTTCTTCTAGAAGTTCAATGATTTTTACTTTTGTATTTAATTCAGCTGTCTATTTTGAGTTAATTTTTCTGCCAGTGTGAGGTAAGAATCAATGTCCATTATTTTCATATAGATATCTGATTTAAAACATTCCTTTTTACAGTGAACTATCATGAGACTTAAAACTTAATTGATCATATAAGGTTGGATCCATTTCTGGAATCTTTACTCTGTTTTATTTATGTAAATTTGATGTCCTTAAATCAGTTTATATAAAATCGCTGATTTGTTCTTCCTTTTAAAATATTTTTAAAAATTTGTTTTTATTTTTTATGTGTATGAGTATATTGCCTGCCTATATGTAAGTGCATCTATGTTATGCAAAGCCTGGCGAGGAGGGCACTGGATTCCCCTGGAACTGGAGTTATGGATGGTTGTTAGCCCCCATGCAGGTGCTGGGAACCGAACCCAGGTCCTCTGCAAGAGCAGTCACTGTTCTTAACCACTGAGCCATCTCTCCTGCCCCTGTTCTTTTTCAAAAGTGTTTGGGCTATTGTAGGACCTTTAGAGTCAAAGGAATTCCAGGGATAGTTTATCAGTTTCTATACAAACCAAACCAAACCAAATCAACCAGTCTGCTAAGTATTACACTGAGGCCTGAAACTTAGCCAAGGGACTATTGACAGCTGATGACTGCTGAATGCAGGAAAGTTGATCTTCTTTAATGGAGTGATATTAGATAGGCTGAACAGGCTCCAGTGGATCACACTACGAGACATCTAGGTACACAAACTTGACTCAACAGGGTTTAACATATAAGACAGAATGCATGAAATCCTGTGGGTGGGCTATGGGGGTGCAGATAGGGGAGGTCTAAATATGATTAAAATGTATTGTGTGAAATACATGAAATTTCAGTAAAAAATATAAATTGAAAACAAAAACACCAAAATGTAAAAAAAATTAAAATGTTTACCAAGCAAAAAAGTTACAGTAGGCTAATGCTAATATATAATTAAAGAAAAAAAATTAGTATAGCTAAGTACACAGTATTTATAAAGGTTAGAGCAGAACACAAGATGCCTAAGGTCTTCCTATTCACACAGGACACACTGACTGACTCACCTAGAGTGGCCCCCAGTCCTGCAAGCTCCATTCCTGGTAAGCGCCCTGAATAGGCCCACCATTCTCAATCTGTCATGTTGCATCTTTACTGTATTTTATGTTTGGATAAGTGTAGATATACAACTACTTACCATTATGTT